CTGAACTCCAACCTCGTCCCCATGGCTCGGTGCAACGTCCTCCAGAACTGGGATGTGAACTTGGCATCTCGATCCGAAACAATCTCCACGGGCACTCCATGAAGCTTAAAAATGTCCTTGACAAACAATTTGGCGTAATCACTCGCCTTCATGGTCGTCTGGACTGGCAGAAAATGGGCAGACTTCGTAAGGCGATCCACTATCACCCAAATCGAATCATACCCACCCCTCGACTTCGGCAGTCCCACTAAGAAATCCATGGTGATGTACTCTCACTTCCACAGGGGAACCTCAAGGGGCTGCAACAACCCTCTCGGTTTCTGGCGCTCAGCCTTCACTTGCTGACACACCAGACACCCATCCACGAACTTCGCCACCTGCCTCTTCATGTCTCGCCACCAGAAAGATTTCCTCAGGTCCTGATACATTTTCATGCTACTAGGATGGATGGTGTACGGGGCACTATGGGCCTCTCTCAGAATCTCCCTTCGCAGTTCCCACACATTCGGAACACAAAGTCTACCCTCGAAGACCAAGGCCCCATCAGAAGTGACTGCGAATCCTCCAACTTTACCAGCTGCTGACAACTCCCTCATCCGGCATAAGAAACGGTCATTCGGTTGCTCGGCGACTATCCTCTCTCGAAGAGTCGGTCCTACAACCAAGGAGGTCAACACGCCCCCGGATATCGAAGTCGACTCCACTGCCTCTAACTGTAATCGCTCGAACTCCTGAAGAAGAACATCCTGCCTGGTGAATAAGCAAGACAGCTGGCTATAACTCCTCGGACTAAGGGCATTGGCTACCACATTAGCTTTCCCAGGATGATAGCTAATAGTGCAGTCGTAGTCCTTGACTAGCTCCAACCATCTATGCTGCCTCATGTTCAGCTCCTTCTGAGTGAAGATGTACTTTAGGCTCTTGTGGTCGGTAAAGATCTCACACTTGCCTCCATAGAGATAGTGCTGCCAAATCTTCAAGGCGTGGACAACTGCAGCTAACTCGAGATCATGAGTGTGGTAGTTCTGCTCGTGAGGCTTCAGCTGCCTCGAAGCATAGGCTACGACTTTCCCCTGCTGCATAAGGACACATCCCAAACCCATCTTCGAAGCTTCACTATAGATGGTGAACTCCAAAGTAGGGTTGGGTATAGATAGGACAGGCGCGGTAGTGAGTCTCCTCTTCAACTCCTGGAAACTCTCATCGCACTGAGGACTCCAATCAAACCTCACCGCTTTCTTCGTAAGGTTGGTCAGTGGCTGGGCTATCTTCGAGAAGCCCTCGATAAACCTCCTGTAGTATCCTGCTAACCCCAGGAAACTACGAACATCCGCGGCACTTTTTGGTGTATCCCATTTGCTCACTGCCTCAATCTTGCTGGGATCCACCTCAATGACTCGAGCTGTCACAATGTGGCCAAGGAATGCCACGCGGTTCAGCCAGAATTCGCACTTCGAGAACTTAGCATAACACTTCTCACGGCGAAGAGTCTCCAGCACAATCCTTAGATGCTCCTTGTGCTGATCGATATCTCGAGAATAGACCAGAATGTCGTCGATGAACACAATGACGAACTGGTCAAGGAAAGGATGAAAGACCCTATTCATAAGGTCCATGAAAATGGTTGGGCCATTGCTGAGTCCGAAAGGCATGACTACGAACTCATAGTGGCCATAGCGGGTATGGAAAGCAATCTTGGAAATATCCGAATCCCGGATCTTCAGCTGATTATAGCCAGAACACAAGTCAATCTTTGAGAAGACGCTGACTCCTCTCAGCTGGTCGAAAAGGTCCTCAATACGGGGAAGGGGATACTTTTTCTTGACTGTAAGGGCATTCAACTCCCGATAGTCAATGCACATGCGCATAGATCCGTCTTTCTTCTTCACGAATAGGACGGGCGCACCCCACGGCGAGACAATCGGACGAATGAAACCAAGCTTGAGCAACTCCTAGATCTGGGCCTTGAGCTCTTGAAGCTCCTTCGGCACCATACGGTAAGGGGCCTTAGAAACGGGGCCGACTCCGGGAATTAGGTCAATGGTGAACTCCACCTGGCGGTCGGGCGGTCCTCCGGGCAAATCATCAGGAAAGACGTCGAGGTACTCGCAAACAATAGATACTCGCTCGGGCACCCGCTCATCAACATCGTCGGATACCATAGAAACAAGATAGCCTTGACAGCTACCCTTGGAAAGGCTCTTCCTAGCTTGCATAGAAGAGATGACCCGAGGCACAGTCCTCGAACTCACCCCAAAGAACACAACAGGCTGATCGGAAACGGGATAGAGGGTGACTTCGCGCTCTTGGCATCGGATGTCGGCTCGATAACGGGTGAGCCAATCCATGCCCAAGATCACATCAAAGTCTCGCATTTCGATAACATACACATCGGCCTCTAGAACTCGACCACCAATGCAAATAGGATGGTTGCGAACCACCGAATCAGAGATAATAGTTTTTCCCGAGGCTAGACTAACCTCGAGAGGATCACAAGCATGCACTGTGCCAATAGATAAAGCCTCCAAGCAACGAGAAGAAATAAAAGAATGGGTAGCACCGGTATCACATAAAGCAAAGACATGCATATGGGATATCGAAAGCATTCCGGACATGGTACCTGCATTGCGGGCGGCCTCATCATGGGTGATGGTATAGACTCGGGCCTGACCCCCAGCCCTCTGCTGGAACGGTGGGGGCTGCTGATGCTGCTGATGAGGTGGCGGTGGGGGAAGCTGCTGCTGATGCTGCTGGGCAAAGGGCTGCTGTTGTAGCTATCTCTTCGGTTCGGTGCAGACACTGGCATAGTGACCTGGACGGTTGCAGTTGTAACAAGCTCGCTGGTCTGCTAAGCACTCTCCGGTGTGGAACCTGCCACATTTAGGGCACCTCGGCTGCTGACCCTGAGTGGGTTGGTCGTCACGTCTGCCGAAGTTTCCTTTCTTTCCCTTCTTCTTATTCTGATACTCGGACTTCCTCTTGCCCGAGCTAGAGCCAGGCGGCACAGATGAGATGGGCTGAGCATACTGAACAACGGTCTGAGAAGGCTGGGAGGCATGATAATATGAAGGGACTGGGGCTATCGGAATGAGACAGATCTCTACCTCCTGAGCTCGACTAACAGTATCTGCGAAAGACATCAGTCCGTGACTCCCCACCAGTTCACGGATCCTCTGATTGAGCCCCTTGAGAAACTTGCGGGCCTTCTTAGCATCGGTATTCACTGCGTCGCCCACAAAAAGGCACATGCGGGTGAAGGTACGGATATACTCGTCCACTGTGGAGCTGCCCTGCTGCAAGTGGTAGAACTCATGCTCCATCCTATCCCAAAAACTCTGGGGAAGGAACTTGTTGCGCACCATCACTTTCATTTGCTCCCAAGTCAGAGCATGAAGCTCCGCCTCTGACCTCCGGGCCCAGTGGTCAATCCACCAGTCAGAGGCGTCCTCCTTCATCTGATAAGCTGCTAGGGACACTCGCTGGCAGTCAGGGAGGGGAAGTACCGCAAAAATCTTATCCAGCTCTTTCATCCACTCCAGCGCCGCTGTGGGGTTCTCAGTCCCCGCAAAAGTGGGTGCATTCATTCTCTGAAGCTGGACGATAAGCTGAGTGAGGTCCATGGCCAGAGGGGCCTGATGATGACGACGAGGCGGGGAAGGAGTCGGGGATGGCTGACGGTTACGGTTGTTGTTGCGAGTATTCATACTTCTACATTGAATAAGCCGAACAAAGTTTAGCACAAAAACAAACAAATAATCAATACTTATAGAAGTCTAGAGTTCACCAATAAACACTAGAGTTCGATTAAATCAAGGTGCATAGGTCCTAAGCCCCAAAAATAACAATTACACCACAAGTAGTTTCATTACCACATGTGTACCATTTATATATCAAGTATTTTCATTAATGGTCATAACACAAGGTCTAAACACATAATCACATATGCGCCAGTCTACAGAAATGCAGACTGGCTCTGATACCATAACTGTAACACCCCACTTTGATTTTAAAGAAATTCCAGACTTTCTAAAAATCAGAACAAATTTTTCGAATTCATTTGCTGAATCAAGGGCATTAACCAACACAATTTACTTAGTCCAAGTCTTATCCGGACTCACGGGGATTCATAAACCCGATTTTTCACAAGGTTTTCATTAACCTGATTCACACTTCAACATAATATCCCATATGAACAATTGAAACTTCATAAACCAAACACCATGATTATTCAAGGTTTCAAAAGGGTTTTCCAAAATATTTTCAAACATCAATACATAGTTCGAAAACAGTTTTCACATGTCCAAAACATAGAAAGGTTCATAACGACCATATTATTAAAGCGGAAGCAAAATAAAACAAATAATAAACCACCACTCATCCTTCGTCCTGTCACCCGGCCACTGCTTAACCTGCATCCGTGAAGAGCAGGTGGGAATGAGCACAAATGATAAAGTAGTGCTCACTACTATGCACATAATAACATGTAAAGATGGTATGGTCGTAGCATGAATATAAATCAATCATCATCATGTCTCATCTCCTAACAATCACAACAATAACTCACTCATGTGCACATCTATCATTAGTCGTAGAAAGGGGATGCATAAACCCTAACGACGGGAGTGCGTGCCACTGTAACGGACACGACCTTTTATTAGGTCTTAAGAAGACTTGCCTCGCAAGAGCAACCGTACCGTAACTCGACGGGGACAACCGTACCGACGGCCGTAACAGCTAACATCGGTAGGTTACATGGTTCACATGCATACATTGATCATACCAACCAAACACTTAAACACACGTATTGCATAGATAATTTCATAAGTAAACCCACCTGGAAATTTCGGTAGAAAATAGCAAACAATCGCAAGTATGTAGGATGATGGCTCGACTCCTCAAACACTTACATTTAAGCGAGATAATATATCAATAATCTATCTCACTACTCGAATTTTACATAAATCCCATACTTAATAAAAATTAAGACTTAAGGGTTTTAATCGGATTTTTCATGGACTTGGAACTCTCTCATTTTTGAAAAATTATGACTCGGAGAACTAAAATTTGAGTCTCGGGACTTAAAATAATTTTTTTTCCAAAAATTTATTATTTTTAAATATTTTAAAAATTGAAATAGGCATTAAAAACGGGCTCTAGAACTCAAAATTGGGCTAAAAACTGAATTGGGCCGAAGCTGAAATTTCAGTCCCACAATTGGGCCTGAACTTTCGAAATGGGCTGAAATCAAGGGCTGGTTCAGTTCAACCAGGCTGAATGGACGTGGGCCGCAAAGTGGGTTGTTCTCGGGCCTTGACTGTTGTAGTTAGATCGGGCCGCGCGCGGGCTAACCTCGGGCCCTATGGCCCGCGCGCTCAAGCTGGTTCTCAGTAAAAAAAAAAAAAAAACAACTTATTACTTACGCGAGGAAATGGGATCGAACCCCTGACCTCACTCAAGGAATAGCGCACATATGACCACTGTGCTACACGCTGGCTTGCGATTTAAATTGCAAACATGACCAAATGAATTTTGAGAAAAGCCTGTGATTAAATTAGAGAACAGAGTACAGGACATCTGTAACAGCAACTGCAAAATGACAGCAGAACGACCAAATTTGACGACGAGATATCTAATGGCAACGAGATTCGAGAGTTTATAAAAAATAACATATTTTTAGAGTTCCGAAACATATTTTTAACAACGGTTTTGGCTTGAAAACGGAACAACCAAAATAAAAGCAAAATGAATGACCGGGGTTCGAACGACTCGAATAACTTAACGACGGCTCGAAATAGCGAAACAAGACTCCGAATTTATACAAAACAGTCACATCAACATTATCATATTCACTTTTTACGGAATCGAGAGTTCCAATAATCCCCGAATAATCCTCGAACATATGAAATACATAACGAACATACGAAATACATAACAAACATACGAATAACCAATTAAACCGATTCAACGAACGAACGAAAATGATTGCTATCATTCTGAACAGCAATAACTGAGGGGGTTAAGAAAGGTTACCCGTCTTCGAGAATTTCGGAAGGACGGGTCGGACGAACGGACCTCGAAAGCTCGAACGGTAACCTCGACGAACGGGACCGAGGTGGCTGTTCGTGATCAGAAAATGATGATGACTTCGATGGAGTACGAACAGATATTCTGAAACGCGACAAATGGAGTTCTCGGTGGTTTGAGTTTTTCTGGAAAAAGGCTGACGCCTGGCACTCTGCTCGGGGGTACGAACTTCAAGCTTTCGGTAGCTGTTGCAGGTTCGTGAACGGATGGGAAGACTCCTGGCTTGATGAAATTATTCGGAAGTTGCTGCTAGCCGCCGGTTTCAATAGCAGACACGCCGGCCGGGAAATAAATCAGTCGACAGATTTTTTTTTTTATATAACTGCGAACAGAGATAGATGGATGGAGAGTAGTGAGGGAGATGAATTATTTGATGCTCTCGGTTAAGGTTTAAAAGGAACGAGGACGAGATAAGAGGAGAACGTGCGAGGAAGAAGCGCAACTAATTTGATCCGCTGAAGACTCGATCGCAGGGATGAAGGAGCAGGCCGTGATTGAGTTGCTCTTGGGCCACAAATTAAACAACATAATTGGCCCAAGATCAATTTGGGCTAGAGCTTTAATATATGGGAAAAATATTTACAATAGTTTTGGGCCAACTAATATAAATACCAAAGGGGCCGAATATATGGACATCCATTGAGTCGAATTCTCCAACGATTCGACTTACGAATATTCAGGCTCGGCTCGATTGAATGGTTTGGTAAAATAAATTAACTAAAATATATATATATATTTATATAATACACACAATAATATTTATAATAATAATAAGCATTTAAAACAATTAGATATTTAGAGTCAATAATAATAATAATAATAATAATAATAATAATAATAATAATAATATTAATAATATTAATAATAATAATAATAATAATAATAATAATAATAACAATTATGCAAAATAAATAATCTCAATTATTCATAATCGAGTGGGGCGTTACATCTAGTTTATTTAGGCTTAGATTTAATTTATGCACCTATAAATACCCCATGTACTCATCATTATTGATCATGTTAAGTCTTGTAATTGATGAGTGAATCTCATAGAGGGGGAACTTATGTTCTTACGTGTGTTTAAACAAGGCCGTTAGAGCGTGTTTACATACAGTGTCGGAGAGAAGGTCATTAGAGCGTCTTGAAGTCACGGTGTCTAGGAGAAGGCCGAAGTGCGTCTGTTAGATACACCTATCGTGGATAAACGAAGGCCCTAGTGCACGTTTATTCACAACCACCGTATAGATAAAAACACGGTCCGTCATCACACGCGTGTAGCGCACGCGCGCGGGGAACCAAACTCGCCGAGGAATAGGCGTGCGAAGGCGGTGCGCGTATGAGGTGGCCGAGAGTTATGGGCGTGAGGTTTGGAATTGTTTGGAGTGCAAGACAAGAAAGATCAAGATCTAGTCAATTAGGACTCTAGATATTTATTTTCCTTCTTGCACAATAATATCTAGATTGTTTAGGTAATTTAATATTTAATTGCTTTAATTAGTTTCCTAGGTAGATTAGAATTAGTCATAGTTAGGATCTATAAATAGGGAGCATCCCTCATTGTTTTTCAAGTCTTGGATTTGATGAAATAGAAAAGAACGTTTGTTCGAAACCGTGTGTTAGGATTCGTGAGAGTTCGGTCATGCAATCGAATTGGTGAGGCTAAGACCAAAGCCAGTTCAACCGAGTTAGTGAGGCTAAGACCCGAGCTAGTTCAAAAGAGGGAGCGAGGCTAAGACCCGAGTTAACTCAAGTATCGTGAGAGAGTTAGGCTAATAACCGAGTCGATCACACCTATCGTCGAGAGCAAGGCCGTGGCGAAGCCGTGATCGAGACAAGTCAAGGGAACGCAACACACGATCATTCATCAGCGTGCATGCTGTGCGCACACCCGTGTGCGCGTGCTGCGCCCGGAGTGCACCCGACTTGCGTGCCTCCCATTCCTACAAGCCCCCTGATGTCTTGGCCTTCCCCACCAGGTTTTGCTCCTTCGGTGTGCATCTCGAAACCTCCAATGGCGCATCCATTATGGAATTTTCTCCTTTGGCATTAATGCATCCCGTGCTCGGGCTTGAAAGGGTCCGGGACCACTTCCGCATCATTCCCGCCTCCTTTAAACACATCCTTGCCCTCAAGGATCGGGATATGCCTCTTGTGATCGTTCTCTTCACCCATTAGCTCTAAACACCCCAAGGACTATGTCAGGTCCAACCAACGGTAGTGAATAGAGGTCCGCCTTGATGATCTCGCCTTGAAGATTGATGGGCACGTCTCGATAATACTCATGGCATCGTAGTTTTTCCCCATTGGCAACTCTTACGTCGAATGGATCCACCTTTGTTGTTCTTAACTTCAATGCATCCGACAATATGGCACTAATAAAATTATGGGACGACCCAGTATCAACTAACACCTCGATAGATGGCCCTCGGACTAAAGCGGGCAACTTGATGGTTCTCGGCCCATGCACTCCTGACATCGCATTAACTGAAATTTCCAAGTCTTCCTTGACGTAGTGCCTCGTTTCCACCTCCTTGGGTTCTTCCTCGTCCCCTTCCATGCTGTACAGTTGTTGCTTGCACCGATGACCCGGCGTGAATCTTTCGTCGCAAAGAAACATAAGC